TTTTTTTTTTTTTTTGAAGGCCACTTAGAGATATCACATCCAGCTTTTTGGTTGGCCTGTCATTTCCCCCAGCTGTTGTCTCCAACAGCCATGATGTTAGCCAGTTAACTCTAATTGTTTTAAAATAAATGTCCCTTGGGAGGCTGTTTGCGCTGGATAAGCTCAGAGATAGGTCAATTAAAGACAGCTTTACAAGGGAGGACTTCCAGAGAATGACCAGATAGGTCAGATAATGACGCTGCCCTGGGGACAGGGCTTTGAGAGAGATCCAAACCCATTTTGTCCTCAGAGTGGCTACCTGGTGCCTGGTCTTTACTGATTGCAGGATGTCAGTTTGCAAACGTAAGGGGGAGCTAGAGAAGGGGAAAGGGAATTCAGCCGAGCTAAAACACCAGAAGCTCCTTGTCTGTCCTGAGAGTTTCCGCCTTTTTTCTTTTTCTAAAATAAGTGCTTACTGGGTGGCTAGACTTTGGTTAATTTCCAGGTTTGTGAAAATGTGAACTCTGACAATTTTCCCTCCACCACCCTCATTGCTTTTGTGGAGCAGAACATGTTTTTGAGGGTTCTGACAATTGTTCTGACGTCACCCAAGGTTAACAGACATAAAACAGCAGCATTTGCTGCGCAGTGCTATGTCGCGTGCCATTGCGGTCATCGTTGTTAATATTACATGAGAGAACAAGTATGAACCCTCTTCCTGCCTCCAGAGAAGAGTGGTCCCGGGAAAGCTGGAAGGGTGGAGAGAAAGGAAAAAGATATCCGTTTGCAGGGCTGGGGAGATAGCTCAGCCGTCTAAGCGCCTCCCTGGCAAGTGCAAGGACCCAGGTTCTATCCCTGGCATGGTGGTGCACACCTATAATCCCAGTGCTTGGGAGGCTGAGACAGGAGGATCACTAACAGTCCCAGCTGCATAGTGAGGCCTTGTAACAACAACAGCAACAGCAACAACAACAACAACAACAACAACAACAACAACAACAAGATATCCATTGGCAGAGAAAACAGACAGGAAAAGGCAGAAACATGCTTTGGAAGGTAGTGCTCCGTGTCGCAAGCATGAGAACTGTGATTCATGGCTGGACTAGGGGAGAAGGCCAGGATGTGGGCTGACCCCAGGGCCGAGCAGCGCCTAGAGGCCAAGCAGAGCCCACTGGTCCCCCTGGCCTGGCCTCTTGCCTGTCTCTTTCCTGCGTGGTCTCTGTTCACTGGTCTCCTCATCTGCTCTGACTTTAAAAGGAAGAAGTCTTCAAGGACAGGTGTACAGGACCATAATGTCCATCCTGTGGTCCCCAGAGAAGCTGTTCCTTCTGCCCTGTCCCTCCTGCCCTGCCCAGGGCGTTGGTTGCATCTGTTTATAAGTGTGTAGCAGTGGCCAGGGGTGAGGGCACCAGGGCTATGTGATACCCTGCAAGCACAGGCCCGCGCCTGTCAAAGGTATCCCAGGACTTGGTGTTTCCAAGACAGCTGGGTATTTACGAGTCTCTGTGTACCCATCAGGGATGAGTGGGTCTGGGGTACCCTGGAGCAAGCAGTGAGGAGGAAGGAAAAAGAGGAGTGGAAAGTGGGGCTCGGGGTCTTAGTCCTACGTGCAGACTGCAAGACCTTTGGGGACTCAGCATTGATGCTCTTGAAGGGTGGATTTCAAGGAGTAGCTGGTCTGATACTAGAAAGAAACACTTCTGAACATCAGGAGGGAAGTCACAGAGACGCTGGCCCACTGCCTCCTGGAGACATGTGCGCACGCCCTGCAGGGGCTCTCATGCGCTAAGTCTAAGTCCCATATTTTACGGCAGAGGAAGCAGAGGCTGAGGTGAACCTGATCGTCCTGGAACAGCCAGGAGGGCTGCAGGGGCTGGTGTCCAGAGCCAGCCTCGCGCAGCATGCATCCCGAGGGCTCATGCCCGGGGACACAGCGCGTCACGCTCACGTAGGCATCCCTGGCAAGGAGCTTGCCTGCAAATTGGCTGCATCACATGCACGGTAGCAAATCCAGGATGAACCTGAAAGCCAGGAATTCTAAGGCGAGCTGCGCAGCTCTGGGAAGTCCGAGCTACACTGAAGGACAGCAGAGCTTACAACGAGGCAGGTGGCTTGTCATGGCCATGTCCTGCCTCGCAGATGTGTGCCCGGAAGGGCCCTGTGCCTGGCCAAGCTCCGTGGCCACTGGCTTACCACGCTTAGTGGGGAGATGAAGCACCGCTTTCATTTTGCTTGGGACCCTGCTAAGCCTGTAGCAGCCCCGTGTACCGTCCACGGGTTCCTCCAGCCTGAGGACACAGAGTCAGCCAGCCAGTCTCCTCAGGGACAGAATGGAGCTGGTGCACCAACCAGAGATCACTCCTGGGCCAGAAGGGAAGTGTCCAGGCCCTGGGCTAGGCCCGGCCCAGCTGGAGACCCCAGCGCCAGCCCGCATGGCTCTGAGCTTCCTCCCCTTGCAGGAAGGGCTGGGCGGCTGCTCCTTTCAGGGGCCAAGAAGCCTGCCTTCTCTCCCCTGGGCAGCTTGTCTGGGGTGAAAGAAAGGGCAAGAGACAGGCCTGAGGGGCGGGAAGTGGGAACGTTACCCCCAGACAGGATGAGGTGTCCGCAGCTCCTATCCCCGCTGGTGCCCACTGCGACGCGCGTGATGCAAATCCTCCAGAGGCCGAAATGGGCCGCCTCGCAGGTCGTGTTGTGCTGCTCCATGTGGGGGCTCAGCACGGCCCAGTGGTCGGTCACCACGGCCACCATGGCCAGCGTCATGCCCACCAGGATGCAAAAGAGGGTCACCCGAACCTTCAGGGTTTTCGTCTGGGACATGGTGGTCACTGAGGTCTGTGTGCTCTGGGCAGGGGAGAGCAGTGTCTGCCGGGATAGGTGGCTGTCCGGTCGGCGCGGTGGCAGCGGCTTGGGAGTGGGGGTGGGAGCTAAGTTTAGTGTCTGGATGGGCCAGAGAGACTGGATGGGGCTGAGCAGCTGCTGAGGAAGGCTTCTATTAATGCTCATCAGGCGGGCGTCGCCCGAGACGGCTTCTGCTCAGGTTTCAGGGCTTTCCAGGGTGGGGCAGGGAGAGAGGCTGTGACAGTGGACGCAGGCTTCTGCTGGGTGGAGGTGGAAGGGCCTAGGGAAGCCCACTAGGGAGCCCTGGGCGGCCTCGAGTCTGCACCCCGAGGGCCTGGGTGTCCCAGGAACCTTCCGAGGGGCATCACGGGGATCCCGCCTGGCTCCCGCGTCATAGTGACCTCTCAGCTGCTCCCAGGCTCAGCCCTTCCAACCCTGACCCCACCCCAAGAAGCTTAGTTTATTTGCAGCTCATTTCCCATCCCTACTATTAGGTCCTGAAGGCCCGCTTCGTTTGGGGCTAGTGTGTCTTGAACACCTTCCTGACATTTGCAAGTGAGAGTTCTGCAGGACTGGACAACAGGTTGTTTCATAGCCATCTGCAGTGTTGCCTCTGAGAAAAACAAACTTCCCAGTTAGGCTTTCACCCAGGAAAGAAGTATTTCCTAACCATGTAGGCGATGTGCAGGTCACAGGTATCTGTGCAGGAAGAGGAGATCATGTGGGGGTGGGGCCTGCTGGGGGCCTACTGGCCACACCCTCCAGCCTGCACCCTGAGGTCCACTCCTAATCCCCCCACCCAGTTCTTACTCTGTCTTCTGTCTGAAGTCTGCAGGGGGCCCTTTCTTGGAATCTGAGAGGTTGTTGACACATGGCTAGGGATAGCTCTTTGTGCTGGGCAGGACCTGGAGCCCAAAATCTCAGGTTGATTTGGGTGACAAGAAGCCTCTTGCCATGAGAAGAGAGGCACTCAGGCATCCAACCCCGGAATCGCAGAGGGCGAATGCTGGTGCTAACTGTGAACACGGCTCTATTTTTTTCCCCAGTGCTGGATTGAACCCCAGGCTTTCACGCTGAACTATATCCATGCCTCTCTCTCGGTGAAGAATTTGAGACAGGGCCTCAGTCACTACTGCAGCCCAGGCTGGGCTCAGACTTTCCTCATCCTGCCTCCACCCCCTGAGTGCTGGGCTTGCAGGTGCGTCAGGCTTCACACTACTCCACATGTGAGTGCATTTCACTGACGATACGGAGGCTCGGAGACACGCCCAGCGTCACACTGCAAGGCAGCGATGGGGCTGGCTGCCGCGGGCCGGAGCCCAAACACTGGTGAGAGCTGGGAGAAGCCTCCAACCGCTGTTACGAGCCAGGGGGAATCCACAGCACAAAGTGACAGTGTGGTAAGCCAGGGCTGGCCAGGGGGGAGGCACCAACGCTGGGCCCGGGTTCATGCTGCTCCTCCTCAACTTTCATTTTTATGGAATCAGCCTTTCCCACCAGTTCATAATCTCCAAACCTCTTTCAAAACGTTCTTCATCGCTCCTATCCTTCCTCCCTGCACTGCATCCTGTGTTCCAGAGGGTGGTGGCTGATCCATCTTGGTGATTGTCGGCTGACCCACAGATCCTGCTCAGCTCAGACAGTGACTGTCTCTGAGAGGGCGAGTCTTCTCCCCTGAGGAACTCTGGGTGCTGGGAGGTGGTACAGGCTCTGAACCCCTTGTACTGCCTGTGTAGACTCAGTTTTTTTTTTTGTTTTTTGTTTTTTTTTTTTTTTACATTTATTTATTGTGTGTGTGTGTGTGTGGGCAGCTCAGCCCACTAGGGGGCGGGCTGGCTGGCATGTGGTGCTGGGGGATCGAACTGTGGTCCCTGTGCTTTGCCAAGCTTATTCTAAGAAGGTGCTTTAGACCACTGAGCCATCTCTCCAGCCCCCTAGACTCAGTTTTGAAACCAGGAAGCTGGGACTCTTGAGAGAGCTGGGCAACCCCGAGCAGACCTACTGTGTGTCAGGCAGACCTACTGTGTGCCAGGAACACTAGCAAAGTTGCAGCTGGGGAGTCAGAAGATTCTGCTATTGTAAAACACCTCATCTTGAAAGAAGCCCTTTTTTTATCCTTGCAGGTAAATGGGGGTCATTTGAAGAAATGGTGTGGGGGGCACCCTGTGCTCACTGGTGGTGTCTCTGGAGGTCTTGGAAAATGCCTTGAGTGGGGAGGGCATGTGGGCTCGCTCAGTAGTGGTCACTGTGGGCTGACAGAGAGGCTGGGTCTCCCTCACCGAGGGCAGCCACATAGCGGCCAGCAGCGTTCTCCTGCAGCAGGGGCTAGGTCCCTGCCAAATCCTCCGGCCCAGGCCCACCGTGAGCAGGAGCCTTAATGTCTCATGGCCGCTTCCTTTTGAAGTCCTTTTGGAGGCCACGTGGCTTGGCTGGCAACGCCACTACTGCAGGTCTGCTTCCTAAGCCTCCTCACGTGGACCTTTTCTGCTCACCGGGCTGCAGCCAGGCTGCGGCTTTGCATGGCCAGGGCCTTGCTGGGCCGGGAGGGAGGCAGCGGCCAGGCTCACGAGCACTCTGGCGGTTGGCAGCCCCAGTCGGGGGGTGTCTGGGAGTCAGCAGGAGTGGGCAGAGTTCCAGGGAGGGAGCCAGGGGCGCCCGCAGGCCCCAGAGCCACTCTAAGCTGCCCTTCCTGTCTGTCACATGAGGGCCCAGGGGTGAGGATTAGCAACGAAGCCACCCGGTCTCTCTCAGCCATGAGAGGACACACTGGGAAGGTTGCTGTCTGCAAGCCCGGGAAGGGAGATGCCCCCACGCTTGGACTCGCAGCCTCCACCTTGGCGAGAGAAGACCGCGCCACCCAGCCTGGTGTCCTGCTGTAGCAGCCCAAGCAGGCAGCCGGTGCAGGATGACGGGGACTACTGCAGGCGATGAGCTCTGCCCAGGGAACGTTAAGTTTCTTGGAGGCAATGGTCCTGAGACTGTGACATACACTTCCAAGGCCTACCCTCAGGGGCTATGCAGGCTCCAAGCCCAAGCTAGAAACTCCATCTTCATAAATGCTGTGTGTGTGTGTGTGTGTGTGTGTGTGTGTGTTACTGGAGATAGAACTCAGGGCTTTTGGGCTCAGCTCTATCTTCAGCCTTCTTTATTTTTTATTTATTTATTTATTTATTTTTATTTATTTATTTATTTTGGTGGAACCGGGGATTGAACTCAGACCACTCAGACCCTTGCACTTGCTCGGGAAGTGCTTATTCCACTGAGCCATCTCCCCGAGCCCTTTTTATTTTTTAAATTTGGAAATAGTATCTTACCAAGTTATTGTTATGGCTTGTGTCTAGATGTCCCCGAAAGCCTCACGCAGCCATGGGGCAGGGCTGCTAGAGGGTTTTTTAAAAAATCTTTTTTTTTTTTTTTTTTTTTGGACTAATTGTCGTGTGTGTGTGTGTGTGCGTGTGCGTGTGCGTGTGTCTGGCTCAGCCCACCCTCGGGGCAGGGCTGGCACAGCATGTGGTGCAGGGGATTGAATGGTGCTCCCTGTGCTTTGCCTACGTTTACCTAAGCAGGCACTTTAGACCACTGAGCTATCTCACCAGCCCCTTTAAATGTATTTTGTACATGGTCTACAGGGTCTCACTACACAGATCAGACTCGTAGTGATTCTGTTTTCAGCCTCCCAAGTGCTGGGATTACAGGTGCGCGCCACCACGCCCAGTCTCCATCGCCATCTCAGTGCACCCCGGGGCGGAGCCGGCACGGCAGGTAGGGTCTGTGTTGATTCAGGGTCACACGCCAGGCTGATGGGTGTGAGCACCACGCCAGCCCTGGGGCAGGCAGCCTGAATGCACTTAAGAGAGGGAGGCTGGCTCTCACTGCTCCTCCCTTTTGCTCTTGCTGTTTTGCTGTTTTCTGCCTCCATGAACTGCTGCCCTCAGCCCTGTGCCACCTTGTCTTCGAGCCAACCGAGCATGGACTGACACCTCCACACACTGTGAGCTAAATCAGGTATTTTGTCCCAGCATGAGAGCGAAGTGGACAGTTGCCTAGGCAAGACGTGAACTGGCAGTCCTCCTGCCTCAGCCTCCTAAGTGCTGGCATGGATATTTATTGAATGACTGTTGAGTGAGCAAAAGGATGAACAGAGAAGTAAAGAAGAGGCTAGAAGCCCAAATGCTTCATTCTCCCGTATGAGCCAAAGAACATTTCCACATGGTTTAAGGTCAGGGGAACCCAAGAAGTGGGCACAGGCCGACCTGGGGGATGTTTTAGGAGGGTGTGGCCCTCTGCTGTGTGGTCAGATTCAGAAGGAAGCTGCCTCCCGAGGTCCCACACGTCCACAGACAATCTGCAAGGTGAGAACAACAAATCAGTTTTCATTTGTCCTAAGAAACCGTTCTTGCTGGGCGTGGCGGCGCACGCCTGTAATCCCACCACTTGGGAGGCTGAGGTAGGCGGCTCATTGTGAGTTGGAAGCCAGCGTGGCTACAAGACCGATCTGGACTACATAAGGAGACCCTATCTCAGAAACAAAGAAACAAACGAAGAACTGCTCTTTTTCCAAGAAGGACTAGAGTGGAATGAAGGAAGAAGACAGCACTTCCGGGAGGTGGACTTTATTCTGAAGCCCGGACCAGGGACAAATAAACACTCTTCGTAATGAGCTGATCTGATTTTGAGCTCAGGCTTAATTAGGCTGAGGAACGGCCTGGACTGTTCAATCTGCAGTTGACCTTTTTTCTCTTTCTTTTTTTGTGGTACCGGGGATCAAACTCTGGACCTTGCATTTTGCCAGGCAGGTGTTTATGCCACTGAGCTATCTCCCCAGCCCCAGACTATTTAATCTTAAGATTTATTTTTTCTTTTAAAGCAGGCTCCCACTCTCCCAGGTTCCCCTAGTCCAGGCTCCCGATGCTGCTTCATCTAGTGTCTGTTGGGCCTTCAGCGCTCAGTTTGATCTTGGGAGCCTGTGTGTCGCTGTGCCTTGCTGGACACTCTTCCTGGACACCCTTCCCAGAACTCCCAGGGAGGCAGGCAGCTGGGGAGTGGCTGTGGGCTGATGAAAGCTCAGGTGCTTGGCTCAGCAAATGCCTGGCCTCAGGGAGGTTTGGGGTGGGCCGCTT